GTTCAGGCCTCCGGTTGTCACCTTGATGTTTCATCACTTGCTTGGCGCGACCAGGTGTTCCCTTAATATGGTTATATCAACTGCCATTCTTCTGGGCACTCATTCAGTTTTGCTATGGGTATCACATTAATTGTAGTGTCTAGATGATCGGTTGCGCCATTGGCGCAAAGACCAAATGCAAACAAGAAGTTAAGCAAGATATGGACATCACGTTTAAAAATGTTCATTTTATGAATTATCTGGGAGAGCCTGCTTATTATATCCTACCCCGATTTGGTTGCCTCTTGGTCTATCTTGCTTAGAGTCATCCCAAGGATGAGACACGCAACGCCTCTCGTGCTGAAGCTCTTTTTCGGTCTTCCGAACGGCTATGGCTCAGCTACCCGTCCTTTTGGTTTCGGTAGAGGCCTAACCACCCTTCCTAGCCAGACATGCCCTAGTCGGTTGTGCCGGGTTCGCACCATAATTCATTAGCGTGATCATTGATATGTGTCCAGGATCTCACTACGTGCGAGAGTCTCTCTATTTTTATGTTGGGTATGATGGGTGCTCCGTCTGCGGTCTCACCATTGGTCATCATCACGACCATGACACGATAGGCTTGATCTGTTCAAAACGATGTTCCCTGGTCGGCTATAATATGCACGAAGGGAAAGCACTTATGACATGACCATTACACACTAAGATGGCTCTGCCTGTCAGCAACAAGAGATAAATCGAACCATGGAAGGCCAGGCAGGCAAAAGACATGTGTTTTTTTACAGAATACGATGGCAATGGCTATTTTGCAACCGTCTCTTGGTGGGGCAGTCTGTTAGGCAGCATGACATGACCGCGCACCCTGACAAAGGTAACAACAAATGGGACGAAGGGAGAAACATGACTCCGACTCAAACAGACCGAGAGCTAACCTCCCCCAATGACCTCCTGACCGAGCACCGACAATACACCAAAAGTGGTCAAAGCCCGGAACCGGAAAGCAATGACCCCCACGGACATGGCAGGAGGATCGCCAACACATGGGTGGCAGTGTGCCCAAGGCCACCGCTGATACGTCTCCAACATATCTATAATTTTTGATTGCTCCATGCTATGTTATCTACTGTTTTGGGCAATATTGGGCTTTATTATCCACTTTTATATTATTTTTGGGACTAACCTATTAATCGGAGGCACAGCCCAGAATTGCTGTTTTTTGCCTATTTCAGTGTTTCGAAGAAAAGGAATATCAAACGGAGTCGAAACGGAACGAAATCAACTGGAGAAGTTATTTTTGTAAGGAAAGCTACCGGATGGACTTGGACCCCACGTCAGGAGCCAAGGGAGGTGCTCACGAGGGTGGGGCGCGCCCACCCCCCTAGGGCGCGCCCCCTGCCTTGTGGGGCCCCCGAAGCTCCACCGACGTAATTCCTGCACTCATATATACCTACGTATCCTAAAACTTCCAGAAGAGAGATTAGACCGGGAGTTCCGCCGCCAGAAGCCTCCGTAGCCACCGAAAACCAATCTAGACCCGTTCCGGCACCCTGCCGGAGGGGGAATCCTTCTCCGGTGGCCATCTTCATCATCCCGGCGCTCTCCATGACGAGGAGGGAGTAGTTCTCCCTCGGGGCTAAGGGTATGTACCAGTAGCTATGTGTTTGATCTCTCTCTCTCTCGTGTTCTTGATTTGGCACGATCTTGATGTATCGCGAGCTTTGCTATTATAGTTGGATCTTATGTTTCTCATCCCCCTCTACTCTCTTGTAATGAATTGAGTTTCCCCTTTGGATTTATCTTATCGGATTGAGTCTTTAAAGATTTGAGAACACTTGATGTATGTCTTGCTATGCATATCTGTGGTGACAATGGGATACCACGTGATTCACTTGATGTATATTTTGGTGATCAACTTGCGGGTTCCGCCCATGAACCTATGCTTAGGGGTTGGTACACGTTTTCGTTGTGATTCTCCGGTAGAAACTTTGGGGCACTCTTTGAGGTTCTATGTGTTGGTTGAATAGATGAATCTGAGATTGTGTGATGCATATCGTATAATCATACCCACGGATACTTGAGGTGACATTGGAGTATCTTGGTGACATTAGGGTTTTGGTTGATTTGTGTCTTAAGGTGTTATTCTAGTACGAACTCTAGGGCTGTTTGTGACACTTATAGGAATAGCCCAACGGATTGATTGGAAAGAATAACTTT